TTTCAAATGGAGGGAAAAGAAGGAACGGATTATTATGTAGGAAGTTACCAAACACCCCTCTCTTCGAAGAATGAAATGGTTTAAAGGTAAAGGGTTCCCCTAGCGCATATGTGCTAGGCGTTCCTGGCTCAAGGGGGCGGCGCTCATCTCCGTTACAAAGCCAAAGAGCCAGCGCTGTCCGAAGATGTCTCCGTGGTCATGTGGCCGGCATGACTAAACGCTGAAGGCGCACGGAACGCTCCTACCTTCCCACCACCCAAGTGGTCCCTATTTTTCTACTTGCATTTTTTACGTGTTTTTAAACTGCTAGGTTGGCAGAAGCTGGGATAAGTGATGGGACCTTACTCCGTTACGCGGAGGGATTCGAACCACCGAACTGCCGACCTTTCTGATTGACAAGCTCAGCATCTTAGCCAGAGAAGAGAAGAGAAGAGGAGAGGAGAGGAGAGGAGAGGAGAGGAGAGGAGAGAAGAGAAGAGAAGAGAAGAGAAGAGAAGAGAAGAGAAGAGAAGAGAAGAGAAGAGAAGAGAAGAGAAGAGAAGAGAAGAGAATGTTTTAGGAAATATTAAAAAAGCAGGATAAAATATCTCCCCTAAAATATTTCATTCTTCTAGGAGACGGTTGGGTTGCTAATTTCCTACATTATGTTTGGAACATATTTTAGCATTATATGTGAGCAATTAAAGTACAGGTAATCCTAATGTCCACAACTGAGCCCCAAATTTATGTCGTTAGGCAAGGCATTTCTTGAATTTCACCCCATTTTACGACCTTTCTTGCCTGTTGTTAAGTGAATCACTGCAGTGCAGCTGGTAAGTTAATATCATCATAGGGCATCATGTATGTTTTATGCACCACTTAGCAATTTAGAACTTGGAATCATACAGCTGGAGGGCATCTCAAAGGTCTTCTAGTCCAACCCCCTGCTCAAGGCAAGAGACCTTATATATACCCTCCTGCTCAAACGGTTGTAATGTGATGCTCCTCTTGGTGTCATCAGGCTTATTTATGTGGTAAGCTTATTCCAGAAAGCTTTTTTTGCTTCTTGGGGTGGGGGGTGTCTCTCCAATATAAGTCAAGAGACCAAATCACTTTTTAAACCACTTTTTAGCTGGTTTGTGTTAAGGCTGTGGAAGAAGGGGGAAAAGGTATGCAAGACAGTTTGGATGGGACGCCCCCTGGTGGACACCTGATGACAGTGAAGAGTTTGGTGATTTGCGGCTGAAGAAATTACATAAAGCAATAGAGTAGGCTAGGCTAGAATAGGATAGAAAACAGAACACAAAATAAAACAGGATAGGATAGGATGGGATGGGATGGAATATTGGAATGAAGAATAGAATAGAATAGAATAGAATAGAATAGAATAGAATAGAATAGAATAGAATAGAATAGAATAGAATATTGGGATGAAGAATAGAATAGAAATATAATAGAATTTGGAATAAAGAATAGAATAGAATATTGGAATGAAAAATAGAATAGTATATTGGAATGAAGAATAGAGGAGAATAGAAGTAGAACAGAATAGAATATTGGAATGAAGAATAGAATATTGGAATGTAGAATAGAATAGAATAATAACTTTGTCACTTTCAGTGTACACTAATCGGCATACATTAAAGTGAAATTTCATTGCATACAGCTCTCAAAGGGTCACCACCTCCAATATATATTTATTTACATAATACATTTACATAATTTATTTACATACTTTATTTCTGTTTCTCAACCATGGCATCTTTCAGAGGCATGGACTCCAATTCCCAGAATTCCCCAGCCAGGAGGGGAATCCCCTCCACCCCCTTCTGGCTAGAGAATTCTGGGAATTGAAATCCAGACACCCTAAAGAGTTGTTCACCTTATTTTGCGAAGCTTCTTCTCCGGCAACGTTGAATGGATAACTAGGGCATACAAAATCTTTGCCAGACCAATTCTCGAATATAGCTCGTCCACCTGGAACCTGCACTGTATATCGGACATTAACCTGATTAAGCAGGTTCAGAGGTATTTCTCTTCCACTCACAATAGTATTCCCTATGCTTCCAGGCTCAAAATTTGGGGCCTGGACAATCTGGAACTACGCTGCCTGTAGTCCGATCTAAGCATAGTTCACAAAATTGTCTGCTACAACATCTTGCCCGTCAACGACTTCTTCGGCTTCAACCACAATAATACACAAGCAAACAACAATACAGGTCATCCATCTGGAATCTGCGCTGTATATCAGACATTGATACAATTGAGTGTCCAGAAGTATTTCATGAGAAGAGTACTACAACCCTCTGCTCGCAACAGAATACCCTATATCACCAGGCTTGAGATTTTGGGCTTAGACAACCCTGAACTACACCGCCTACGGTTGTTGGTGTAGAACACATCATTATCTGCTAAAATTTCCTTCTAGTCAATGACTACTTCAGCTTCAACTGCAACAATGCAAGAGCACACAACAGATACAAACTCAATGTAAACTGCTCCAAACTTGATTGCAGAAAGTACGACTTCAGCAACCGAGTGGTCAATGCCTGAAATGCACTACCTGACTCTGTTGTTACATCCTCAAACCCCCACTCCTTTAACCTCAAACTAACCACTATCGACCTCACCCCATTCCTAAGAGGTCTGTAAGGGGCATGCATAAGTGCACCATTGTGCCCAGGGGTGGGATTCAAATTTTTAACAACCAGTTCTATGGGCGTGGCTTAGTTTGTGGGCATGGCTTGGTGGTCATGTGACTGGGTGGACATGGCTTGGTGGTCATATTATTGGCTGGGCGTGGTCAACTCAACATCACTCACATCGAGGCACGCATCTCCTCGCCTGGCCTCTCATGACAGTGGGGATGCTGCAATAGTCGTAAGTGTGAAAAATGGTCATAAGTCACTTTTTTCAGTGCCATTGTAACTTTGAATGGTCACTCCACACAAGCAAAGTACCAGCAAAGGAGGGGAAAAAAAACTCCAGAGAAGTTCCTGAGACAGGAAGTCTAGTCCTGCCTAGAATGTAATAAGGGTTAATGGAGAGGCAGTTTCTGTAAGCAACATCAGAATATTTCCTTCCTGCCTTCCTTACAGGATTAGGCCAGTAACTTCTTCTAACAACCGGTTCTCCGAACTGCTCAGAATGTTAACAACCGGTTCTAGCGAATAGGTGCGAACTGGTAGAATCCTACCTGATCGTGCCTCCAATCCCTGTCCCCATTTATCTGTACTTATTTTCTGTATTGTTATTCATGTTTATACTTGTACCTATTATCTTGTAAGCAATTGACCAATCAAATAAATAAATAAATAAAAATAAACAGATACAAACTCAAGGTAAACCGCTTCAAACTTGATTGCAGAAAATACGACTTCAGCAACAGAGTGGTCAATGCCTGGAATACCCCATCCGATTCCGTTGTCACAGCCTCAACCCTTCACAGCTTCGACCTCAAACTGTCTACCATGGACCTCACCCCATTCTTTTTTTAAAAAAAAAGTTTTTTTATTTTATTTTTTTAACAAAACCAACAAATAAAACCTTTCAGTTATACAGTGTGCCGGCTGGGTACATATATTGTTGTCGCTGTATGACTATAACTTTGTCGCTTGTCTCCTTATGATTTATATTGACTGTTTCCTAGTATGATTTGATTGCTGATTGTACCCTATGACTATCATTAAGTGTTGTACGTTATGATTCTTGATTTTTAACGAATGTACCTTTTCTTTTATGCATACTGAGAGTATTTACACCAAGATAAATTCCTTGTGTGTCCAATCACACTTGGCCAATAAAGTATTCTATATATCTTGTGCACAAAATATTTGTATACATTTCTTATTGAGTTTACGTTCATGTTATATTCTAATCAACTTAATATATCATATCATTATTACAATATCATTAGGTTTTGTTTTTTATTTCAAGACCTCACCCCATTCCTAAGAGGTCCTTAAAGGGGGCCTGCATAAGTGCACCAGCGTGCCTACCGTCCCTGTTCTACTGTCCCCATTTATCTGTATTTACTTCCTTTGTTATGTTCATACCTATACTTGTTATCTTGTACATGTTTGACAAGTAAACAAATAATGTGGCTGAAGTTTGCCAAATGCCCAAGTTGGATACTTAAGTCATTGCTTTCCTTTATTTTTTCCCTCTCTCCCCTCTTTCTCTTTATAGAATACCTTTATTGTCATTGCATTCCACGAATACAATGAAATTTGAAAGCTCCTCCAGCACAGTGCCCTAAACACATCACAATCACACTAGAGTATTTAAAAATTAAAATAATTATAATAATAATAGAACTAAATCACAAATGCAGTTTGTTTAGATTTTTTTGCTATTGTTCTCTGCTTTTGCATTGTTTATTTGACTCTTTTGGGGGGGGGCAATATATATTTATATTTAAATTTAAATTTACATGCTGCCCCTCTCTCTTAGAGGCGGGTTACATTGTATGGATAACCTTTAAAAGAAAAAAAAAAGAATGAAAAAGTCTGGGCTAAAGCACCGGGTGCGAATCCAAGCTGGTAATCCCGCTCCCTCCAGGGGCATGGCAACGGGGATCGGGAAACCCATCCTCCGTTTCTTTCCATGGGACCCACGAAACTACACCGGTAAATTTCCGCGGGCGGCTTCTGCGCCTGCGCTTTAACGCCGCCTCCGCGCGCGCGGGATTCGAATCCTTCTCCTTTTCCCCAGAGCGAGAGAGCATTTTTTTTTCCCGCTCGCCCCGCCCCTCGCCCCGCCCTCCGTCCAATCCGCGGCTCTTGCTAGGTTTAAAAAAGAGAGAGCGCGAGGTGACCGGCTCTTAAAAAAAAAAGAAAGAAAGAAAAGAAAAGGGGGCGTGGTTCTAACTCGGCCCGCCCGCTCTCAAGCGATTGGCTAGTTCGCGAGCCTCCGAAGGTTTCAGAGCGGTAGGCAGCTTTAGTAAAGGGGGAGGAGCCTTCGCTGAGCTCCGCCCCCCGGCAGGCTCGGCGCTCACTGCGAACTAGCTGCTTGGCGCCGCGGCGGCCGTTCTGCGAACGCTGCCCGGGGGAGGCGAGAGTTCACCGGCCGGCTGGCAAGGATGAAAGCGGGCGGTGAGCGGTCTCCGCGGGTCCCCTGTTTGCAAAAGCCTGGGAGTTGCCCGTAGAGCTTGGGGAGGGGGATGTACCCTGTATTAAACCTTTACTTTGGTGGTGGTGGTGGTGGGGGTTCAAGCTTTGCTCCCATTGCTGGAAGGTCCTACACGGGTGTGACTCATCCCCACGACCGGGAGTTGCTCGTTAAGCTTGGGGAGGGGGATGTACCCCATATCAAACCTCTATTTTGGGGGGGGGGTCTTCATTGAAGGGGAGGGGTTCAAGCTTTGCTCACGCTGCTGGGATGTCCTACTCGGGAGTGACTCATTCCCACGACCGTTCATCCCCGGGGGACCGGTGGTTTAGCCCCATTCCACCCTGCTTTTTTTTGGAGAGGGGAGCCCCGCCTGGGTGCGCGGGGGAATGCAAGGCAGGGGGCTGGACTAGATGACCTCCAAGGTCCCTTCCAACGCATCTGTTAATCTATCACTTCATCCCCTCCTCCCTCAAATGGGTGCACCGTCTTCCCTCTTCCTTTTTTTTTTTTTAATACCCCCGTGCAATCGTCGGAAAGCCTAATCCGGGCACGGGAGGGTAACGTGGGAACGGAGCCCCAAAGCTAGGTCGCAAGGCAAAACCGGGCTGGGAGAAATGGGATTCTGCTTAGGAAAAGGTCCTCCTTTTTCCCTCCCCCAATGTCGATGGAGACCCTTTTCATTCTCCAGCAGCCCGTCAACTGGACAAACCCGCCGTCCCGAGGCAGAGGCGCCACCGGATGTCTTTGCAAAAAAAAAAAAGTTGGTTTAAAGTTGAGCTTCTCGTGGCTTGTTAGAACTTTTCCAACTTGGGCTAGCTTGCTTTTAAACCCACTTTTTTCTTTTGGTAATGGTTTAGCCACCTTGCTGGAGTCGAACTGGTTTATTGATTCGTATTTTTTAAAATTTTATATATATATATACAGGAATATATATATATTATATATATATAATTTTTTAAAACCTCAACGGGGAGGACGTCCGTAGTTTTGGGCGGGTCGATTTAAAAAGTGAGCCGAGCCTATAAGAAGATCAGAGCTGGCTTGTCAGCGGAGGGGATTGGCTTAAAGCTTCTGCATGGGCTCCATAAGACCATAATACAAGATTTTTTCTTTTTTACAATAGGAATTGCCTTTGGGGTATATATATATATTTTCCTCCCCCCTTGTACCAAAAGGACAGGTAGCTCATAAGTCCGGGTTTTTCATGGATTCAGAGCAAAATTTGATATGGGGAAAAAAGATTCAAAGTCTTTGAAAGGAACATAGTTATGTTTGTTTGTTTTTTCATGTATGGTGAAACCAGAACTCACTTTGATTAGAAGTTTTCAAAGAAAGAAATACAATTGTGTCTATTTTAAAGCAGCTTCCAGCTTTTCAAAGAGTCTTAACTGCTGGCTTCAAAGCTGTGCCATGAGGTTTCTCACCCAGTAGAATTTTGCTGTTTTTCTCTCTTTTTGTAAAGAGAAATGGATTTTGGGAGGAAAGAATAAATAGATTTTCTTGTTTTGACTTTCCTAAACATGTTTGAATCCAAGCATTCCTCCCCACCCCCCAAGATGAGTTACTCTAATGCAATCTGAATAGACGCACACCTCAGATAAATTGTGGGTTTAATTCCAGACTACCCCAATAAAGAGAATATAGAGTCACATGATCTTTTTTTGTTTCCCTGTGAGTGTAAAATTTATGTTTACACTATAATCTATGAAAGTGTGCCATGGCATCACGTCTTGAGGAAAACGTCAATGTACAGGCCTTAATTAAAAGTCCTTTCTTGCTTTAAAATATTAATTTTAAAGTTATTTAAAGTTAGTTAGCTACTACTAAATAATAGTAAATACTAATTACTAAATATAGGTAGTCCTTGAGTTGCAATCACAATGGAGCCCAACGTTTCTGCTGGTGAGACAGTTAAGTGATTTTTGCCCCCATTTTACGATTTGTCTTGCCACCGTTCTTAAATGAATCGCTGCAGTTAGTTACACAGTTGTTTAGTGAATCCGGCTTCCCTGTTGACTTTGCTTGTCAGGAGGTCACAAAAAGTGATCACGTGACCGCAGGAGACACTGCAGTGGTCATAAATATGAGTCACTTGTCAAGCATCTGGATTTTGATCACATGACCATGGGGATGCTTGCAATGGTCATAACTAACTTTTTTTCAGTACTGTTTTAACTCTGGTAACTAAAGGAAGTACTGAGCCATGGTGGCTTAGTAGTTAGAATGCAGTATTGCAGGCTAATTCTGCTGACTGTCAGCAGTTCGAATCTCAACAGGCTCAAGGTTGACTCAAGCTTTCCTTTCGAGGTCGGTAAAACGAAGACCCAAATTATTGAGGGCAAGATTCTAGCTCTAAACCGCTTGGAGAGGGATATAAAGCACCGTGAAGCGGTATATAAGTCTAAGTGCTACTGCTATTGTAAGTCAAGGACTACCTGTATGTAATTCTTATTAAAATGGATCCAAAAGGCACCAGGCTGGAAAGCGGGAGATCTTGAGTTCAAGTCCTGCCTTACGCATGAAAACTGGCTGGCTGGCTGTGGGCCAGTCAGTCTCTTCTCAGCCCAGCTCACATTACAGAGTTGTTCTGGGGGAAATAGGAAGAGGAAAGGACGTTATGTATGTTTGCTGACTTTTGAGTTATTGTAAAAAAATATAGCAAAGGCAGGAATACAAATGAATAAAATTGCCAACTTTGCCCATTTGAAAATGAGCTGAAATGTGGCGATCCTCTTTAGAAACAATTTGCTATTGCGCAATCTGGGGAGATCCCATAATTAGCAAAAAGTAGCTTTTCAACAATGGTTTAAGGAGTCTTATGACATCGCCATGTCTCCTGCAGCTTCCTGGAGTCTTGCTAAAATTCCAAGACAGATCATTTTACAAAGGGTGGGTCAGGTTTGCTAGATAGCTTCTAGCCTAAGAGATCCAGGTGATCCGTCTGATTACCTGCATGAGCAGGGAAAGAATTTGAAAGGTTAGGATTCCCAGTTTATAAATCCTGACATATGATAATGTTTCTGTAAGTCAAAGAAATGGGTCAAACGTTTGCATCTTTGCTCAAAAGAAAAGTCACACTGAATATTGTAGAGCTTTCTTTCAAATAAACAGGCACAGGATTTTTATGAGAGTAGGTCCGTTGTGGGAATTGGTGTAGTTTCTAGAAGAAACTCAAGACCTGGCAATGTCATTTGGCTTGGGAGTTCTACTGCTTCCACATCAGTTCCTATCGGAGAAGAGCAGGCAGAGCTGTGGACGGAGTTAAGCAAGTCATTAGCCAAGAGTCATTATGTAGCCACAAACATTCCAACTCCCAAAGTCCGTTGACCCTCATCTGGCACCAATTTAATATTAAACTTTAGTTGACTAGTTTCTTGTTTTTGCCCTTGAGCAATAAATCTTCTGAACTGCACCTTAGTAGATGGCCCTGATTCTTTCATAGTTCCTCTCATTTTATGTCAGGATTCCGGCAGTTACCCCCATTTAAATCATGAGTCTCGAGCCAAACTTCAAAAATTTCAAAAGGATTTATTGGGAGTTAACACGTCCGGCGCTGCCTGGGTGTAGCCCAACTCTGAGACACATCATTCATTGTCACCCTTGACCCTGGTTTTCCCCCCACCCCCGGGTGTATCCTAATTCATATTCTCCAATGGGACACATCCAGAGCCAAGAGCCATCAATCATACTCTCCAGTTAGAATTTTGCAGGGCAGAAACTTCAGTCACCTACTTACTATCTCTGAAAACATCGATGGAATGCACTTTCGGTTTGCAAGCTGCTGCACTGCTCCCCACTCCCTTTCTGTTGGCAACTCTTAAAAGACCATGGAAATACTTTATGAGTTGACAGCTGGCTTTTTTGCAGTTACCCACTGCCGATGTTCCCGGTGCTTCTCGGTGCCTTCCAAGAGAAGGGTGAAGAAGAGACCCCGTATCCTGACCCTACTGTCCCTTCCAGAAGATATTCTCTTCCATGTTCTCAAAGGTCTTCCAATAGAAGACATCCTTTCCCTCCGAGCTGTAAGTCCCAAACTTGTTTATTTTCATTTTGCACTTTCCGCATAAGGTGTTCTTGCGGAATAGTTAGTCCTACATTAAGACCCGCCATTGAGGCCAAAACGGTTGCTTGCGCCAACAATCCATTGATGCAAACAGAAGAACTTGTCCTTCCAGTCTCGCAGAATTGTTTTCCAGCGTATTCCACCTGGTTGAATGTTAATTGCCCTTAACTGAGGTTTCCCTGGCTATTATGGTCTGCTTCTTCGCTCTCTTCCAGGTGCATTCTCATCTTAAGTATCTTATAGATAACCACACCTGCATTTGGGCCTGTGCAAGCTTTCAGGAAGAGTGGCCGTCTCCGAGAAACTTGAAAATCTTTGAAAGGTAACTTTTTAAATACTTCACCTTTTTCTCAACCAACCCTAAAACCCGACTTTTTATTCAATATATCACTATCCTAAGAAGACATATTCTTGGTCAGCATTGCTGTTTTCTGTTTATTTATTCTGAAACTTGCCCAAGTCCCAAACTCATTCCATTTCCTCATCTTGTATTCTATATTAGTCAATGCTTCTTTTTCGTTTTTTTGTTTTCTTATCTTTCCTCACTTCTCCTTTCCCTCCCCGCTGTTTCCCTTATTTACTTTGCATTTTGTATTTTATATTCCTTTACAACTCAATAGAAATGTTAACTTGAAAGGTAACTTCTTAGAACTTGGGAAATCATCAGCTATATTGCGCTATGCAAGAAGAGTTATTAAGTGACCGATTGTAGAGGTTATCACGGTGGGCAGAACAGTGAGTTTTAGTGCAAAAAAGTCTTCAATCTTTCCAATTTTCACCATCTCCCAGGGTAACTGAGAGATTCTCTTAGGGTTCCTGCATAAACAGAGGGATGGAATCCAGATCACGTGAAGTGTTAATATCACTTTATAATACCTTGGTAAGGCCACACTTGGAATTCTGCATTCAGTTTTGGTTGCCACGATGTAAAAAAAGAAGTTGAGACTCTAGAAAGAGCGCAGAGAAAAGCAACAAAGATGATTAGGGGACTGGAGGCTAAAAACATACGAAGAACGGTTGCAGGAACTGGGTATGTCTAGTCTAATGAAAAGAAGAACTAGGGTAACATGATAGCAGTGTCCTAATATCTCAAGGGGCTGCCCCAAAGAAGAGGGAGTCAAGCTATTCTCCAAAGCTCCTGAAGGCAAGAGAAGAAGAAATGGGTGGAAACTAATCAAGGAGAGAAGCAACTTAGAACTAAGGAGAAATTTCCTGACAGCTAGAAAAATTAATCAGTGGAACAACTTGCCTCTAGAAGTTGTGAATGCTCCAACACTGGGCGTTTTAAAGAAGAGACCGGACAACCATTTACCTGAAATGTTTTAGGGTTTCCTGCCTAAGCCAGGGGTTGGACTAGAAGACCTCTAAAGTCCCTTCCAACTCTGTTATTCTATTCTAATGATGGTTTCTTCAAGAGGGGATGTTGGGTGACCTGCCAAATGCTAAAACCATTAAGGGGAGAATAAAACCCAGATTTGTTTTACAACTTCCCTGTATTTCGCTGAGCTCTGAATTCCTGCAAATAATGAGTCTGCTTTTCGGTTTCCTGCCCCCTCTTGTGTTTATTCAGGGCTGCAGAAAAGGGTAACTTTGAAGCTGCTGTTAAACTTGGAATAGCCTACCTCTACAATGAAGGCCGTAAGTGTGTGTGCACCTCACTTTGGAGACAGTTGTTCTGGCCCCGCCAGGTTCAGCCAGGCCCAGTGTTGCTTGACACAGGGACCTTGGTTGTGTCAAATAAGTTGACACGTAGATGTACACATTTGAAAAAGAAGCCCTCTGTTCAATCACCATCCTTCCCTCCCTCTCCTTTCCTTCCTCTTCCTTTCTTTCCCTCCTTTCTGCTTCTTTCTCCTTCCTTCCTTTCCTTTTCTCCTTTCCTTCTTCCCTCCCTCCCTTTTCTTCCATCCATCCTGGCTCTCAGCAAATCTTTTTTCCTTCCTTCCCTTTCCTTCCCTTCCCAGTTCTCATCAAATCCTTCCTTTCTTCCCTTCCTTCCATCCATCATGGTTCTCACCAAATCTTTCTTTTTTCCTTCCTTCCTTCCTTCCTTCCTTCCTTCCTTCCTTCCTTCCTTCCTTCCTTCCTTCCTTCCTGGTTCTCATCAAATCTTTCTTTTTTCCTTCCTTCCTCTCTCTCTCTCTCTCTCTCTCTCTCTCTCTCTCTCTCTCTCTTTCTTTCTTTCTTTCTTTCTTTCTTTCTGGAGAACGCCTGTCTTGCCAGACCTCCTGGGGTGGGCAGAAAACACTGGGAACAGATGGGCCCTTCTGTACGGGGTCTCTTGCCCCTTACGCTACAGCAGAGCCACGAGCATGGAACTTAGCTGGTAGTTGAAATTTCATCCTGCCTCCAAGGTTCATCATCTCTTCTCTCTCTCTCTCTCTCTCTCTCTTTTTTTAAGCATCCGTTTCCGATGAAGGCCGTGCGGAAGTGAATGGGCTCAAGGCATCCCACTTTTTCAGCCTGGCCGAGTGCTTGAACGTCTCCACCGTGCCTTTTGTCTGGCTGTTCATACGGCCCCCCTGGTCTCTGGGTGGGAGCTGTTGCAAAGCCGTGGTCTACGAGAGCCTCCGAAGAGAGTGTCAGCAGCGAAAAGTAAAGCACCTTGGTCCTGTGTCTTTCGAGCCTTGATTTGCAGAGCCTGCAGTTGCCCAGATTCATCGTCTTTGAATGACCCATAATCCCTTGTGGGGTGAAATCTGGGCAACTGAATGGAGTTGTGTATTTACTGGCCAGGTGCCCTTCCTGTCACCAATGCGGAGTTTTGTCAGCAGATATTCATTCTCAGTGTGCCCAGAGAGAGAAATATCTGCCTCTACCTAGGGTTGAACTCGCAGCCTCCTGATTTTGATTCATGGTTGCCCAGAACGGGCACAGTAATTTGCATTCAGGGAAGCTAACATGAATGTACCAGCCACACAGTGCAAATCCTGAAAAAAACCTTTGACTTGCTTTAATTTTCTAGTCCTTACTTATTTCAGGAGATAGACTGATAGATTTTTTTGAGTGGTGTGGTGGCCTAGACATGGTGTTCTCGCCTCACAATCAGGCTGTGAATTTGACCCTAGGTAGAGGCAGATATTTCTCTCTCTGGGCACACTGAGAATGAATATCTGCTGACAAAACTCTGTATTGGTGACGGGAAGGGCATCTGGCCAGTAAATACACAGCTCCATTCAGTTGCCCAGATTTCACCCGACAAGGGATTATGGGGTCGTTAAAAGAGGAGAAGGATGGACCGATAGATTTTTGCTATGCCAAAGGAGCTACGAGTATATTTTCTAAAGCTGATAAAAATCTAAATCGGTGTCAGGCGCAAACAGCCATGAAGAGTTCAATTAGCTGGTTTATTGCTTAAGTCTATAAACAGGAATCTTCTCAGACTGACCAGGTAAGACTAGATAAGGTTCAGCAGCATTCAAGGGGGGAGTTAGGTTTCACTCTTTTGTGCCCACATAGGGATTCCAGCCTAAGTCCCCATTTGACTCAACCAGTCTCTCTGCAATAATCAGGATTTTTAAATTTTTCAGGCCCCTGAACAGTGGCAACATATATATTGAACTATAATGGGCGGGTTCATTTACGTGACTGTTCTCAGATTAATTTGCAATAATAATGAAAAAGAACCTATCTTTTCAAGTGCAAGAGAAAAAAGCATAAGACAATTCTGAAAATGTTGATTTCTAGTTTCTCTTTATACTAAATGTGTCCTTCACCCACCCATTCCACTTTGATCTTTCTCTAGACTCGAGGATCGATTTTGTACTGTTTGGCAAAAGTTTTGAGTCTTTTTGAGGTAAGGACCGTTTTATTGTCCACTCCATCAGCATGTGTTGGAAGTATCTTTTGAATTCTGATGCTCTGAATGATAACTAACGAAGCAAGTTGCTTCTTGAAAGCAACCATCATTGGGCAGCAAATTTGGCCGTAAGTGCGAAGCGGTTGCTAAGTTGAAAATCACATGAATGTGACAGCTTTTGTGTTTCTTACTCCCCTGACTTTTCAAATGCCTACTCCAGCACTGGGATAATTAACAGGAGAGTTCATCTCTATTTAAGTTCGTTGGAGAGGAAGGGATTACAAGAAAGTAAATAAGGACACCGTGAGGAATACACATCCAAAGGAATGTGCTAGCCCCAGCAGCTGTGAGCACACTATGCAAAACATTCCCCTTTGTTTACCGGCTTACTCTCTTGTAATCCCTTCCACTCCACACTCTACACTCTGCTGGGTGGGCTGGGGAAGATAAAAAGAGGTTATGTTTTCAGCTTCATTATAATATCCTATATTCCTGTTCCCAAGATCCCTATAGATGACATTGTTTAATCAAAGGGGACCAGAATGTGTCAGCCTCCTACAATCAGATCCGCCAGACAGATTGTGACGGTTTTACGATGCTGAGTTGCTGCGGTGTTTTTATTTTTGGGGTTTAATGGTCACATGGTGCTCAATGGCTAAGACGCTGAGCTTGTCGATCAGAAAGGTCGTCAGTTCGGTGGTTCGAATCCCTAGCGCCGCGTAACGGAGTGAGCTCCCGTTACTTGTCGAAAGCATGTTAAAAATGCAAGTAGAAAAATAGGGACCCCCTTGGTGGGAAGGTCACAGCGTTCCGTGCACCTTCGGCGTTTAGTCCTGCCGGCCACGTGACCACGGAGACGTCTTCGGACAACGCTGGCTCTTCTTCGGCTTTGTAACGGAGATGAGCACCGCCCCCTAGAGCCGGAAGCCATTAGCACATATGTGTGAAGGGAACCTTTACTTTTGCCTATATGAACTTGGCAGCTATATGTACCTTGAAATTTCAAACAAAATAAAATCCAGGACTGCTGACACTTTTGCATCCAGGACTGTTCAAAGAGAATTGCATTGTTTCCCCCTTTTATTAGGATGAAGAGAAGAGGAAAGAAGCCCTGGAGATGTTTGATGACTCCTCAAAGCAAGGCTGCTTGCACAGCTCTTACCTCTTGTGGGAAAATAATAAAAAAAACGCGGTGAGTTCACAACTTCTGGTGTAAGAGGCTGCAACGCGAAGGGGCTTCCGGGAAGAATTCCTTGGTCCCCTGCGAGGATAGAGAGAAGGTGTGATGACTTCATTCCTTTCTTACAGATGTCAGATCCTGGTCGATACCTTCAGAGCCTCAGACAACTCAGGGACTACGCAGCCAAAGGGTCTTGGGAAGCTCAGGTATGGTCATAGCTCCTGGATCTAAAGTTTCCCACTTTGTAAAGGTATGTGAGCATGGCTTCAGGGGATGAAGAGGAGAGATGCTGTCCATGAAACAATCGGAGAAAAGAGGCAGGAGCCCCCCGCCCCCAATGGCTTTAGGGTAGAGGAAGAAACTTAGGAAGGACCTGCCCTAATTGCTCGAATGGTTAAACGTGACTTTGAGGGGTGAGGGAAAGAGAGGTTGCCTAGGCAACAATCAGATAACAGAGGCAGGAGCCTTCAGTCACCCCCATGGGTGGAGGGAAAAAAAAACTTGGGAAGTCTAAGCTGTTAAAAGTGATGGTGGGAATTTTGTACTTTCAGACTTGCAAGATTCTGTTCATGTAGCTTTACAGTTAAGTAGAATTGGCTTATCTGGTTGTGTTTCCTGTCTGGTTTAACTGGCAAGGCTGACATTAATCTTGCATGTCTGAAGGTACCAATCTCCCACCATCCCCTTTTAACAGCCTGATCCACTAGGGTGGATGCTCTTTAATTTTCTTTCTCTGGGTGTTAAGTCACCGAGGCTCCCCTCTTATCAATCCCTAGGCAGGAGCTCTTTTCTACCAAGGCCTTCAAACTTGACAGCTTTAAGACTTGTGGACTTCAACTCCCAGAATTCCTCCTCCAGTCATGTTACTTCAGGAATTCTGGGAGTTGAAGTCCACAAGTCTTAAACTTGCCAAGTTTGAAAACCCTTGATCAAGGCCATTCTCACATACCATTGCAATTTGGATGGATGAATTTTGCATGCTTCTGCGCCTTCCTGGGTTTCTTCTGAATGGCAACGCTCTGCATGTATACTCAGTGCCGTTCCCAGAGCAGAAATCTTTTCCTACCCTTATGGCTAAGAGCTTTTTGATCCACAAAGGTTGATGGACCTAAGTCAATGAACAGGAATCACAAGCCGTTGGCTTGGCTTGGTCCCTGCTGCACAGCCAGGTTGATTTCCCAAGAAAAGATGTATCTTGCTCACTGGTGAGCCTGCCACTGAGAGAAGAGCCAAAACAGTTTCACTGCTTGGAATTTGGCCCCCATCAGCTGCAACTAGGTGCCAGACAGTGATGTCATCTCTAAATCTCCCCCCGGTGTTGAGGGTTCAGTCACCGAATAGCAATAGAGTTATATCCCGCTTCACAGTGCTTTCCACCCTTCTCTAAGCATTTTACAGTCAGCCTCTCCCCCCCCCCCCCCCCAACAGTTTGGCTCCTCATTTTACCCACCTTGGAAGGAGAGAAGGCTGAGTCAACCTTGAACTGGTCAGGATCGAACTGTAGAGTCAACCTGCAATACAGCGTTCTAACCACTATGCCACTGCGGCTCTTTTGAAGAGCAACTAATTTGAATATTCCTTGAAATCTTGGCATCCCCAGGGAAAAAAAGTCTTCCTCCTAACTGAACAGTGAGTCTTTCCTTTGTTGCCCATCACAGCTGAGCTTTGCATTGTTGGCTGGTTGTTAAGTTGTGCCTACTCTTCACAACTTGCATGGACCGTAGCATGCCAGGGCTTCCACTGTCTCAGCGGAGTTTGCCCAAATTCACGTTCCTTGCGTCAAGGACATCATCTCACCATCTCATCCTCTGCCATCCCCTTCTCCCTTCCTCCTTCCATCTTTCCCAATGTCAGGGTCTTTGCCAAGAAGTCCTCTCTTCTCGTTAGGTGGCTGAAGTATTTGAGCTTCGGGTTCTGTCCTCCAGGGTTGATTCCCTTCAAGCTGAGCGCCGTTGTCTTAACTTGAGTTGCTTTTCTACCTTGTGCAGATCACTCTTGCCAAAGCTTGCGGGAACAGAAACCAACTAGGGCTGGAAAGCAAGATGTCGGTCGAGGCGGTCTCCCAGTTTTTCCAGGCCTCGGTTCCTCTGAGCAAGCAGAGCATTTTCACTGTCCAGAAGGGTATGAATGAGACAATGAGGTAAAGACGCCCATCCTGCTGTTTTTGTCATTTATTTATTCAATTTATATGCCATCCGTCTCACCGCTGAGTGACCCTGGGCAGCTTAATTAGCTGGGCCAGCAGGAATAAAACCATTTTACAAAACTGAGTTGTTTTTTAACTTGGAATTTTAATCTCTCATCGGGGGGGGGGGGGGGCAGGAAAACACCATTTATTAATTGCTGCTGGGTTACAGGTTGCTCCTGAAACAGTCTGGGGCTCAAAAGTCGGTTTTGAAAGGGTTGAGATGTCACATAATTTAGCAACCTCACCCGGCTTCTGTCGGTTTTTAAAAGCATTAGGCTGAATGTGGCTTGGGGGGTGGTTTCAATGTGTATTCCTTAAAGCATCCTCAAACACCATGTGGCCACTCATCGTGCTAAAAACCTGCAAGAAATGGTCTTGCGCTCCATTGCTAAATGGTGAAAATGCTTCAAGTATCAATTTGGATTTGCTAAAACTGATTTTTTTAGGGAAATGGTTTAGAGTTTTCTGACACAATAAAGTTAATGTGGATTTTTAAAAAAATCATTACGTGCAAGTGCCATACAGGTAGACCTCGGTTACAACCATTTGTTTAGCTACTGACAAGGATGAATTTCTTAGCATCTATTAAAAAGAAGGTGACAAGTAGCTAATTTTAGTTTCTTCAGTCATTCCTCTTTCTTTGTTTTTAAACTTCTGTTTATTTGCTTTGGAAGAAATCTTAAAAATATTTTTTTTTTTGTAAAAAGGAGAATGACTGATGAAAGAGGCACTCTGGGATAACTGATACTCATCTGACAGCAAAGATGAATTTCTAATTGCTTTTGTTTTATGTTGTTTTATTCTTTTAGATACATTTTGGTTGATTGGCTGGTAGAAGTGGCCACCATGAAAGATTTCTCCAGCCTCTGCCTTCACATGACCATTGGCTGCGTGGATCGGTACTTGAAACTGAGACCCGTGCCCCGGGCTCGGCTGCAGCTTTTAGGAATTGCATGCATGGTTATTTGTACCCGGTAAGCCCTGTAGCTCTTGGAGGTGCTAGGGGTGGCTTGGCCTGGTCTTACCAATTCTTGTTTAGGGGGGATTGCAACGGTTTCTGAATGCTATGGTGCAAGAGCCCCTGCATTTTGCTGCATTAGTGGAAAACACAAGGACTCGGGAACAGAACAAAGTAGAACAGAGAAGAGAGTAGAATAGAATATGGAGCAGAATAGAATAGAATAGAATAGAATAGAATAGAATAGAATAGAATAGAATAGAATAGAATACAGAGTACAGTAGAGTAAAATATGGAATAGAGTAGAGTAGAGAAGAGTAGAGTAGAGTAGAGTAGAGTAGAGTAGAGTAGAATATGGAGTGGAATGGAATAGAATAGAATAGAATACGGAGTAGAATAGTCTGTAGAGTAGAGTAGAATACGGAATAGAATAGAATAGAATTCTTTATTGGCCAAGTGTGATTGGACACACAAGGAATTTGTCTCGGTGCATAAGCTCTCTGTATGTAAAAGATATAAGTGATGATCATAGTCATTATAAATATATTTCATCATGTGATTTACATTCATTATGTAATAGAGATGGAGAGATGGAGAGGAGATGTAGTGGTCTCAAGGTTATCCCAAAGGTGCTTTTTCCAAAAAGCGATGGAGAATTTAGAATAGAATAAGCGGGAAGGGACCTTGGAGGTCTTATAGTCCAGCCCTTTGCTCAAGCAGGAGAACCTGTCCTATACCATTTTAGATAAGTGACTGTCTGGACTCTTCTTAAAAACATCCAGTGATTGAGCGCTCACAATTTCTGGAGGCGTTTCCGTGTTTTCACTTCTCATCTAAGAAGCTTCTTCAGAACTGTTTTGAAGAAGCTCCTTGGATGAGAAGCAAAACATTTTCAAAGAAAAAGCCAAGAAAATCCAGTTGCCTTTTGGAGCAAGCACCTTTGGGACAAGATGGTATATGTGAAAGACCTTGGGGGACTGGAGAAAGATGCTGCCAAGAGAATAGTTAGATAAGAGACAACCTAACCCACAATTGTATGACGGCTGAGGTAAGAACTCAGAAGACACCCTCCCTAGTTTCTTGGGCTCCAAAGGAGATGGGAGGATTGTACTTTAAGACTTGCAAGGTCCTATCCATGTTAGGGACTCAGTGGCCTAGATGCTGAGCTTGTCGATCAGAAAGGTCTGCAGTTCGGCGGTTCGAATCCCTAGCATGGCGTAACGGAGTGAGCTCCCGTTACTTGTCCCAGCTTCTGCCAGCCTGCTAGAAGTTTGAAAGCACATTAAAAAAGCAAATAGAAAATTAGGGACCACTTTGGTGGGAAGGTAACAGCGTTCTGTGCACCTTTGGTGTTTAACCATGCCAGCCACCTGACCACGGAGACGTCTTCGGACAGTGTTGGCTCTTTGGCTTTGTAACGGAGATGAGCACCGCCCCCTAAAGCCGGAAACGACTAGCACGGATGTGCGAGGGGAACCTTTTCCTTTATCCATGTTAGTTTTGCAATAAAGCAGAATAAACTCATCTGCTTGTGATTCATATCTGATTTAGCCTGCGAGGCTGACAGTAGGTATCCAAAAGATAATTGCTGTGTTTTGCTGCAAATTCAGGCACCCTTCGAGGCCCTGTCAGATACTGCTTGAGCACATACCCTGGAGTTAGTTCTGCTGAGATTTGTTTGTTTCTTTTAATTCCTCTCAGCTTCTGCCCTTTAAAAAAAATCACACGAAGCCTTGGTGATTTAGCTGCTTCTGGAAGGGGGAATATTAGTAAGAAACGGGGCCTCCGCTGTTTCTCCCGTGGTTTGGCCTTTTCATGCAATTCTCTCTTGCGTTGCAGCTTCGTGAGCAAAGAGATTCTGACGATTCGCGAAGCGGTTTGGTTAACAGACAACACGTACAAGTACGAAGACCTCGTGAGGATGATGGGGGAAGTCATCTCTGCCCTGGAAGGCAGGATAAAGGTAAACTTGTATGGAGAGGATGGACTTGGCCTTAAGCATTGGGATTCTAAGTCGAGGGCTACCTGTTCAATTGTTCCTGATAGCAATGTTAGAAGTGATGTGCTTGGAGCACATTTTGGACAATGAATGTGATCACTTTATTGCTGCATGAAAAAATATTGAACAAATCCCGTTCCTTTGAATGTTCCCAATGCTGCTTGATTCTGCTGTGACTTTCTCAGCTAGATTCAAAATTTAAACCTTATGTTTTCCTCCTTCCTTCCATCCTCTATTCCTTCCTTCCTTCTATCCATGTCCTTCTATCCCTCCCTCCCTTCTTTCCTCCCTCCCTCCCTCTATTCATCTCCTTCCTTCTATCTGTGTCCTTCTAACCCTCCCTCCTTTCCTTCCTCCCTTCCTCTATTAATCTGCTTCTATCCCTTCCTTTCTCTATTCATCTCCTTCCTTCTATCCATGTCCTTCTTCTATCCCTCCCTCCCTCCCTTCCTTCCTTCCTTCCTTCCTCCATTCATCTCCTTCCTTCTATCCCTCCCTCCTCTCCTTCCTCCCTTCCTCTATTAATCTGCTTCTATCCCTTCCTTCCTCCATTCATCTCCTTCCTTCTATCCCTCCCCTCCTTCCTTCCTCCCTCCCTTCCTTCCTCTATTCTTCTTCCTTCCTTCTTTCCTTCCTTCCTGTAGTTGTTTGATTTATAAGAAACTATGGAGATTCTCAGTCATCCAGGCCATGGTTTTCCCAAAGGAGCCTTTTTTCCAGAGGCAACTGGACTTTCTGATTTTTTCTTGGAAGACGCTCATCGGATGAGAAGTGAAACATCGGGAAAAAAAACAGAAAGTCCAGTTGCCTCTGGAAAAAAGCTCCTTTGGGACAAATAACCCAGAAGCAGCCACAAACTGGTGTTCATGCGTTTTGACTTTGAAACATATCGCACAACTGTGGGCTAGAAATTTAAGAAGCTGGTAGGGACCGGAAGTCTTAAAAAGAACCAAATATATTTAAACATTTAAAATAAATATAACAGCTAAGCCTCAGAAGACGTCATCTGGAGACTTATCTTGCCCAGGTTAGGAACATATTTGACTTCTTGTTTTCTTTTTCTTTTATATGTTTAAAAAAAAACCCACAGATTCCTACTATTGTTGACTATAAGGAAGTGCTACTGAATGTCGTCTCGCTGGAAAGAAGGACAGCATCCCTATACAGCTTCATCTGTGAACTTTCCCTGCTAAACACCGGGCTTTGCTGCTATTCCCCAGCCCGTTTGTCTGCAGCAGCCTTGTTGTTAGCAAAAGTGTTGCACAGACAAGGTGAGTTCCAATTTGAACAAAGCTGGCAACTGACTCATATCTATGACGGTTGCATTCTCCCGGGGTTATGACATCACCTTTGGAGATCTCCTGACTTTCAATGGGGGAAGCCAGATTCGTTTTGACAACCCCGCAAGCCACTTAGCTTCACCACCTTGACAAGAGGTCGTGAAATGGAGCACAGTTCACTTTAGGGTTGCCTCGCTTAGCGGCAGAAAGGTGGAGCTCAATTGTGGTCACAGGTCGAGGGCTGCTTATCTTCCCGAGCTGAGATAAAAGTTAAGCTTAAGTTGTGCAGAAGATTTTTTTTTTAAAAAAAATTAGCAATATTGATAGGGTTTCTTTTTTTCATTTGTCTTCTCTCCAGCTCATCCTTGGACTAGCCAGTTGACGGAAAATACAGGATTTTCTCTGGAAGAACTAGTTCCCTGTGTGCTGAGTCTCCACAAGAAATGGTAAGCCTTCGAAATACAAGGAGGAAGAGAAAAAGGAAGAAAATGGGGGCACTAACTTCCAACCCTTCCTAGCACAGTATAAGATACACACTCCAACCACAACTTTTTTTACAGCTTTTACACATTTAATACATAACCAGCCATTTCTATAACACTAAATCTTTCACCAAAATCAGGTTCATATTTTATTTTTTTTGCACAAGCACAAATTCTAGAAGCGATATCCAAAAATAACGTATTTTCCCTCCCTTTCTGTTGACAACTCTAAAAAGACCACAGAAATATTTTATGAGCTGACACCTATTTTCTATGTTCCACTAATCTATTTGCTATTTCTGGCTTTCATATTTTTTGTCTCTAGCCATCGATAAAATAGTTCCCATGTCTTACAATATTCAGTTTGCTCCTCTTTAATTGCAAGTGTTAAATCTTCATTTCTGCACATTCTAGTGTTTTTCTAATCACATTTTCCTCAGTAGGCATCTCTTCGCTTTTCCAATTTTGAGCAAACACAATTCTAGCTCCAGTTAATACACGAATAATCAAATATACCCAAATATAATAGCTGATCTTGATGTGGGTTCCTCCTGTTGGCAGAACCACAAAGGGGAGCGTATTGGGCAGAAAATGATCGCCCCATTACTTGGGAAGCTGTAGTCAAACTTAGCTAGAGATTCCAGGCCAGAGAAAATTAAGGTATTCTGATACTCGTGACTGTTTTGGAGATTCATGGAGATGATTCCCTGATTATTATTTTTTTCTTCCTAGCTTCCATGAAGATGCTCCCAAAGATTATAGGCAGGTTTCCCTGATTGCTGTGAAGCAACGGTTTGAGGATAAGCGCTACGAAGAAATTGGAAAAGAAGAGGTAGGCTAAATAAAGAATCAAGTAAGGATTTGTTTTTTTCCACTGTTTTAAACATTTCTTTAAAGATTGTCATCTTAATAATATATGTGATGACCCGAAGGGGCGTGGCGCAAAGGCAACACAGTCAGATCATCAGTAGGAGTCCCTTTATAAACTCCCAACTTTGCCCCCAATGTCCTGGTTACCTTCTGGGCTGGAGAAAAACTCCTAGGAACGGCCTTTAGCTGCACAGAATCAAATCGAAAATGTGGTCAACAAAAACTATAAATATAAGTCCAGTCAAGGCAAAAGGAGGCAATTAGTCCGGCAGGGCACAGGTTCACCATCATGGAACTAGACTCTTGGCTACAAGCTTGAGCAATAAATCCGAATTGCAACTAAGTGCGATCCTGGTTCTTCGCATCTGACTAACGGAGCAGTTGAAGAATCAAGTGGGTGGGTTTTTCGGGTTGGTTGGTAGAAGAAACGGCCAAATATCTGGCAGTGAGCAGCTTGGATGCCAGGATGAACGCAGTCTCCCACCTCCGTTGACCTGTTCCTCTAGGTGATGAGCTACAGCCAGCTCTGCTCGCTGCTTGGAGTGAAACAGGAAGACCCGGAGCCTGGATCTTCGTACGTGAACGCGGTGGAGACCTTCCTCACTTCCCCATCCGGAAAACGTTCCAAGAGGCAAGTTCGATACTTGGGTTCCGGTTGAATTGGCAGGGAGAGGGACCCTGCAGGGACAAGGAGGATTATGATCTCCCAACTCCAAATGGGAATGGTTGCTTTGGGCCAAGCTGGTGGTCCTTAGGAGGTCTCCAAGGAGGAGAAAGATTGGACTGTAGGAAAACCACAGTGTCGGGGCTCTGATAATTTCCCCCCATTCAAATCATGAGTCTCTAGCCACATCTCTCAGAGTTAAAAAAATAATAATTTATTAGGAATGAACATGTCGGCGTTTCCTGGGTGCAGCCAACTCTGAGACACTTCATTCATTTCACCCTTGACCGTGGTCTTCCCCCCACCTCCTGGATGTATATTCTCCAATGGGACACATCCATAGCCAAGAGTCATCAATCATGCTCTCCAATCATAATCTTGCAGGCCAACAGCTTCGGCTTCCTAGCAATTATCTGAAGCATTTAAGGAATGCACTACTCTTCCCACTCCCTTTCTTCTGTCAACTCTAAAAGACCAGAAAAATATTTTTTTGAGTTGACACACAGCTTCTGTTGTCCCTAGAGATTCTCAGTCATCCAGGTCAAGGTTGCTCCAAAGGTGCCTCTTGAAAAAGCACCTAAGGGACACGGGTTCTATTGCTTTAAAAAAAATGCGGAATGGCTTTGAAGACAGCAGAAGTCAATGGGTGGAACATTCTTTGACATCTCCCAGCTTTTCGTAGAAGGAAGAAGGGGTAGCATTTGCAAGATTTCTTGACTTTGCAGGCCCCAAAACCAGTCAAACTTTTGATTTCCATCTCTGTGTAATAACGGGATTCTAAGTTCTGCTTCCAAATTTGTTTTTACAAGCATTTTTTGCTGTAATTCAGGATTACTCGCCTTCTCAAGGGAAAACCTAGTCCGTGTGGCCAATGGGGAGAGAGAGACGGTTGGGGAAATGTCTAGGTGACCTCATGGTTTCCCTTTCCCTTAGCATGTTTCCCAAAGCTTACAGTGGCGTAGTGCAGGGATTCCTTCCAGGTCTCTCCGACACCTGGATTTCCGTTTAACATCTGGCTGACTTGGCTGTTTTCCTCTGCACAGTGCAAATGAAATCATCTTCGATTCTATTGCAAGACGAAGCATAAAAGCTCTTTGTATGTGAACAGGCAGCTGTTCGTTCATCCCAATCTCCCTTCTCAGTAATTGTGCTGCTGCTTTTATGATAGGGAAAAGCACAGGCAGTTCTTTGCAGCTCAGGCTGATTAAGATAATTGCAGATAAATTGTATTTTTATAGTGTTTTATTCCCTCTCTCTTTCTCTCCCTCCCCCCCCTCTCTCTGTCTGTCTTTCTATCTATCTATCTATCTATCTATCTATCTCAAGGGTCTTCAAACTTGGCAAGTTTTAAGACTTCTGGACTTCAACTCCCAGAATTCCTGTGCTAATATGACTGGAGGAGGAATTCTGGGAGTTGAAGTCCACAAGTCTTAAAGCTGTCAAGTTTGAAGACCTTGCTATAGCCCCTAGATTGTTAAAGAAAAAAACCCAGTTATATTCCAGGTCACAGGATGGGGTGGACATAAAAATAAATCATGATGGAGCTACAGTCATGCTATGCAAGCCTCAACTCCTTTATACATGCCTTTGCATGATCTGATTGCAATGGCCATCTTGACTGTTCTCATGTGTGCCTAAAAGCACCAGGCCTCAACCACCCTTGGCCTATATCTGGAGGTGTAGAATCTCATCCTTGGCTCAGGACTTCTGACAAAGAGAGTCATTCATGGTGGTGTTCCCTTCACAGGAGAAGAGAAGACAGCATCCAGGAGGACCGGGGTAGCTTTGTCACCACTCCCACGGCTGAATTGTCCACTCAGGAAGAAAGTCTTCTGGATAATTTTCTGGATTGGAGCTTGGATGCTTGTTCAGGATATGAAGGAGATCAAGAAAGTGAAGGCGAGAAGGAGGGAGATGGTAAGGTCCCTGTTTCTCTCTAAGGTTATCTCCATTGTAAAAAAATATATATGCAAGTTTCAGGATGTCTGTTGGTCTTGCTCTTCTGTGTCTGGATTTTAATTGCATTATGCAGCTTGGATACAGTTGTCTCTGGATTAAGAACAATTCCATCTTCAATTCAAATTTCTACTTATGTCAGAACTCGTACTTACAAACGGGCTGCCTATTGCCGGTAGTTCTCGACTCAGCAAGTGTTTGACTGGAGCAGGAAAAGTAGCAGAACCTGGGGGTGGAGTCAAAAGGGGGTTCAGCCTAGAATCTTTACGTAGCCACAAGTGAACTACGTCCAAATCTCCTTGAAGTGCCATTGGCCCTTATCTTAACTCCAGTCAGATGCTAATCGTTCATTGAGAAGATTCCTTTGCAATAGGCATGTAGAGCAATAAATCAGTGTAATTGGACCTTCACGTGGAGACCTGGCCTTCTAGGTCCGATACTGATGGTTGTGGTTCACTGATAGTTGAGTCAGAGGAGTTGGAGGGGGTATCTGGGTTGCCACTGGGGCCTGCAGAAGGCTCTGAGGAGCAGGAGGTCTCAGAGCCAGGTGCAGAGCAGGGCCCACCTACTCATGTTTAGGCGGAGAGGCAGCTGTTTTCAGGGCCTGAGCTGAGTGAGGGGGGACGAATAGCTGGGGCCTGTCCCAGATGTGTGTATGTGTAGAGAAGTGCAGAAAGGAGAGCAATGTAGGCCAGCTACCAGGAAAAGAAGGAGACTTTAAGTCCCTCCCTGGCTGAAATATAGGGAGGTGGGAGGCGCAGTTGTCGGAGACAACCATTTATGTTCCGGAAGAATTCCCTCCGGCGGATTCCTTGTCTGGATTTCCTACTTGGGTTGGTCAGGACTCTTGGTGTTGGGATTGAAGTGTCGCGCCAAGCTTCAAAAGAATCCAAAAGATTTATTAGGAGCAACATGTCAGCATTGACCCATTTGAAGCCAACTCTGACACATGTAATTTACAGTCACTTGTGACTCTGTTCCCCCCTCCCCCCTGGGTGTGTCAAAAAAAAAAATCAGATTCTCCAACGAAGCACACAGGGTGGGTGTCATCAATCGCATTCTCCAGTGAAGAATTTTCGAAGGCAGAAGATCCGGTAACCTAGGCTACAATTTTTGTAAGACAAGCGTGGAATGTACTTCTGGTTTTAATTGCCATACTGCTCCTTCAGTTTTTTTTTTCCCCCACCCCTGCTTATGGCAACTCGAAAACAGGCATAGGAATGCTTTACGAGTTGACATGAAGTGTTCATTGATGCTCTCTGCGGAAAACTCAAGAGACTGCTATGGCTTGCAAATCACCTAAGGATGTGTGCACCTGGAGCTTTGTCCGTGAATGCCGTGTATTCCTGCCTTTCTAAATAAAAAGGGATTTCTCCTCACGAGTAGGCTGTAGAGTGGGGCTCATGAAGGCTGGGTCAGAACACTGACCATCTTATTTTAAGAGTTTCTTCTTCTGTTTTTAAGAGTTTTCTCCTGTTTCCCTGTGGTATAGTTACAGCTCCTCCTGGAATTCTGGATGGAACTCTACCGCCTCAGGACCTGAAGAAGCCTTGCTGTTGCCAAGAATCCAGCGACGATGAGAGCCTTCCCCAAGGAGGATGTCGGTACATCTTCAAGGATTATGACCATCCCAACGAAGAGAGTGGGTTCACCATCACCCAAGCATCTCCTGGGGAAGCCAGCTCAGGCTATGCCTCTGTCAACAGCACCAGTCCTCCTACCGACGGCACATTTCTCAAAGCCAGCTTGGGGCAACCGCTGAGGCTGCTGAAGGATAAAATCGTACAGCTGCCTTCGCGCTCAGAATCTTGTTTACATTCCGCCAATGGCTGGTCGAGCAGGAGACAAGCCAAGCGGAAGAATGTAATGCCATACAGTGAAGAAGAGAAGAACCACTTAGGTTTCTTAAGCCTTTGAAAGCTGGAGGTTGTTGAAGCTTGAACCTTAGAGGCTGTTTCTCGGAACGTCAGAATCCTTCAAAGCAAAGAGCTAAATTGAGAGGTTGTTGTACCAAGTATCTTGGATGTTGTGGGTCATCACTCTCTAGGCTTCCCATGGTAGTTCCTGACTCCCTTAACACAACGGTCAGCTTTTCTTGAGGTTGCTACCATCTCTACATCCCAACACAGTAGCCAAATCAAAGGTGGCGGTGCTAAGACATGCAACGCAGAGGTCCTATTTTACATGGAAGACCGGCTTCTCCTCCAAGACCAAATCATAGTCTTTCCCAGGAGATGTTGGGTTTGCTTGTGGGCCAGATAAGGTTTACAAGTCAACCTTCCACATCGTATAGCTGAGTGGTTCACTCCGATCTAGCAATTCAGAAGCAATCCTCTGTGAATTTATTTCTTTTTCTCTTGCAACTTCTCCATGAAATGAAGGAGGCCAGATTACGCATACACACACACACACACACACACACAAATCCTTGGCCATCCTTTGAAATGTAAACATCTCATTGATGGATCTTGAGAGGGTGTGGAGCAGTGTTCTCTTAGCAGCTTGGAACTGTCTGGTCTTATTTTGGGAAAGGGGGGATACTACCTCATTTAAACTCTTCGTTATCTCAAATTGCTTTTTCTAATGTGACCCCCTTTTTCCAAGTTGGTGAGCTACTCTCTTGAGGGCAAAGAGGTTAGGAAGGATGGTCTGGATCAACATTTCTCAACCTCAGCCATTTTAAAAACGGGTGGACTTCAACTCCCAGAACTCCCCAGCCAGCCTGCTGGAACATTCTGGGAGTTGAAGTCCACCCGTTTTAAAATGTCTGAGGTTGAGAAACACTGCCCTGTAACTGGATTCTGCCATTTGTTGGAGAACATACGGCCATTGTTTACCAATATTTTTTCTATGTACATGATGATGTTTCCTGTCTTTCTATTCAAAATGATCGACGCAATTTGTGGACTAGTGTCATAAAGTTATTTAGCAAATGCATCCTGTCCCCTTTTGTTATCCTCTTTTTTAACCTTCTTTCCCAAATTTTCCTTTGTCATTGTGTTCTTTCTTTCTTTGCTTGCTCCTTAACTTTCTCTGATTTTACATGTTTCTTTCCTCCTAAAAATGCAAGTCCATGGCCACACAACTGTGATGACAACAGTGTTATGCGGAGCAAGGGGGAAGAAGGCTGTGTGATGTTGGTATGTTTGCTTATTCGTGTCAGAAGCATCACAATTAAAACAAGGCATACTATGCAACAGGAAATTTAAAATATATTAAAAAACAAAATTAAAACATGTACAAATTAGTCAAATTTTGCCCAGAAACTAGCAACATTGTGTTCTGTCACGTTGCCGTAAGGTCCTAAAGTATACACTGTTCAGGGCACAAATGGCAGGTAAACTTATGTGTTCGCATGTCATCACAATCGCAAAGAGCACAATCTTTGCGATTGTGAGCCCGTTGATGGAAATGATGCCCGCGTTGATCAATTTAATAGGGTAGAAATTTTGAAAAATAAAAAAATCCATTCTATGGAAGGTCCATTCTATGGAAGAGCCCACAGATTGTCAGATATGTAATGTGGTATTTTAAATGGGTTTGAATGACCTTGAAGAAACTAACCAGTTTCTTTTTGGATTGAATGATCACTGAAAAACAACCATCTTTACATGATCAGGAGACATTGAAATAATGGTTTTTGTTATTTGTTGTCATATTGTACAATCAGAGCCTAGAGAAAAAAATGTATTTTTTTTTCAATGAATTATGCCTCTATAAACCAAGATTTTTAAAAGGCTTATGTTTTTGAATGAATTTGAGGAATATTGGACCTGGTCAATGAGGGTTTTTTTTTTCAAAAAGAAAAGATTAATGTTAATGAAAGTTCATGTTGGCTAGTGATTTTTTTTATATAAAAACTAACTTTGTATACAAATGCCTGAGTCTTTATGAAGCATCACTTTGAAGTGTTTCAATATTTTAACAGGGTGGGTGAATTATAATCACAAAAGTTGTTTTAGCCTTGAAACCTGGAGCCAGAAAGTTCAGGTTAAGCTGGCATGCTTAACCATGCTCTGTGGTTCAATGATTTTGCTCTGTAGAGTGCTCCACTTATGGCCACTTGCATTTATGACGGCCAGAGAATGGGTGCTTTACCTCCTTGTAAAGCCGACATACAACCTTCAGCCTTTGTAAATGGTCTCACACACACACATCCCCGTGATCACCAGATTGCACATTGGGTGCTTGGTAACTGGTAATCGTTATGACTGCTGCATTCTGCAGTCGCGTGACTGATATTGCCACTTTCCAGTAAATCACCACATTGTTCACTTAATGACTGCCCTGACAGAGCTAAAAACCACTTTCAGTTCCACGAGTGCCTCAACCAACAACTGAGGACTTGTTTTTCTGGTTGTAATTGTGATCATAAGTTGAGGGCTACTTGTATAATTTATCACTTACAGCTTTTATGTACACGGAGAGCTTATGAATCAAAGACAAATTCCTTGTGTGTCCAGTCACCTGGCCAATAAAGAATTTTATTGTTCTATAAACCACATAGTTGGGTCCGTGCAAGATTAAACCACAACTAAGCAATTCTGTAATGGCTTGGTTGCAATAGGGTAATATGAATGGATGATGAGTAGGACATATAAAGCAACGTCTAGTATATATTGGCCTCTATATGACTTATTAGAGGGTTAGTGGGGAATATCGTACAATATAACGGACCATGATGGACATACAGCCTCCTGGGGGATTTCCTGAAGTATTTGCAATAACAGTCACAACCAAGGCATTGTATGTCCTTTATGGATTGGCTCCGAGCAAGATGGGTAACATACAAATCTAATAAATGATGCACTCCTTGCTTTGTTTTCTTCAATTTTCTTTCAGTACCACAGTCACCAAGGTGTGTTGTGTACAATACTGTACAAAAAATCAATTACATTGAGCTATGGAGTCTGCAATACAATACCCATGTTGCACTGCCCCATTGGCTCATTGGGATAGTCCAGACCCCGAAGGGGAAGATAGAGCAATATGTTGAAAATACAGAATACGCTGTCTCTTGATGGTTCACGTCACACATTTCAGCCTCCAAAGGAGGAAATATGGCAATACAATGTTTATCCCGAAATGGAAGCTTGTGTTGTGTTATGGCACATGCCGCCCCTGGTGGCTGATGGGTGTAACTGCACGTTCGGTGGGGAATCTTAAGGCAAACGCCTGTATTGTGGGCAAAATAGGATGAAACAATATGTACGTTCATCGCCTTGAGTTATTTATTTTAAAAAATAATAAGATTGGGATTAAAAATTAAAGTCATGGCAGCTGTACGGTTCAGTGACCGGCCGGGGTTTTAGTGAGGAAAATAGGAAAAATGCATCGTTTGGTACGTTCTGCCCCTGGTGGCTGATGGAGGTACTTCAGGCCCAAAACTCATGGCATGCATAAAGGTCCGTGGAGAAAACGGCCCATCTATCTTGGAGGACCAGCTGCTCTCTATGACCCGATACCTTTTTTTTTTTTTTTTTTGCCTTCTTCCCCCGGGGCAATAAGTAAGTTTTCAAACGGCAGGGGGCGTGGCCAGGAAAGGAAAAGGGCGTGGCCACGCACCGGAAGCCTGGACGCGCTGACGCTACGAAAGCGAAAGTGAAAGCGTCCTTAGGCGACGCCACTATGAGATCCGGCTGGGCGGCTCAGAAGCGGCGGCTGCGGGCCGAACAGGGCGACGTGGCCACCAAGAGGACCTGCGGGCAGGGCGCCGGGTGGGTATCCCCTTGCGCGGTCCTTAGGCCTCTGGATAGGCCGGAGCCTCCGATCTAGTACGCCTGCCCATGGGCCTTGGCGTTGCCAGGGGATAGGGGAAGCTGACTGGGGAATTCTGGGAGTTGAAGTCCACACATTTCCACGTTGCCAGGGGTAATAGCAATAGCACTTACTTATATGCTGCTTCATCCCTATCTAAGCAGTTTACAGTGTCGACCTCTTTCACCCAACAATCTGGGTCCTCATTTTACCCACCTCCACAAGGAGGGAAGGCTTAAGTCAAAACCTTGAATCAGGATTGAATTCCTGGTGGTGGGCAGAGTTGTGCACCATGGAAGGAAGGAAAGAAGGGAAGAAAGGAAGGAGAAAAAGAACAATTGCAATAGCACTTAGACTTATATACCACTTTACAGTGCTTTACAGCCTTTTCTAAGTGGTTTATAGAAAAGTTATAGATTCTTGGGGGCAATATTGTTGCCCACAACAATCTGGGTCCTCATTTTAACCACCTCGGAAGGCTGACTCAATCTTGAGCCTGGTGAGAAAGAAAGTAGAAGAAAGAAAGTTCAGAGTATGTGGGAAATGACAACTGCAGATCTCCAGATCTGATTAATCCCTTACCTTGCATAATCATAATTTATTGAAGGAAGGGCGGTTGTTTGACTCTGCAAAAGATATTAAGCCAAAATGAAGTGAGCTAGAACGTTGTTTTGTAGACAATAGGTACTTTTCTAGGTGTTAAAAGACTTACAAAGATCCTGTTTGGTTTTACCTTTTTATAGAAAGCTCATGAACATGAAGGTCTATGGAGATTGTCATCTGGACCACAGTTGTGCCAAAGGTGCTTTTTTTTCGAGAGGCAACTGGACTTCCTGGTTTTTCTTTGAAGATGTTTTGCTTCTCATCCAAGAAGCTTCTTCAGCTCTGACAGGATGGTGGGGAATGGAAGGATTTATACTCCTTGCAGACACCTGGTCATTTGTATCCTTTTTAGAGGGTCCTTGAGACCACTTGGAGGTTTATCTGTGTCCTTCCATTCCCCACCCTCCAGTCAGAACTGAAGAAGCTTCTTGAATGATAAGCGAAACGTCTTCAAAGAAAAACCAGAATGTCCAGTTGCCTCATGAACATAAAGGTTTCTCCAGAAAGGATGTTTTTGACCATTGTAGACTGTGTATAAATAAGTAGCAAAGGAAATTTGCCAAGGTGGACAATATTTGTAGGTCAAGGTAGGGTTATTTTCTTGGTGTTCTCAAGTTTGCTTGTCTTCTGCAGAGATTTCGGGCCTGATCATGAGAAAGAGAAGTAGCCAGAGTGGCAAATATTCGTAGATCAAGTGTAGGATGAGGGTGAAGGTTCGTTCTCAGAGCTTGTGGGTTGGTTTCCAAACATTTCATTACCAGGCCAGGTAACATCTTGGCCATCGGAGTTTAGGGGAATTTATAAACAGAAGAACACACACTGACACCCCCTAAACTCCGCTGGAGATGTTACCTAGCCAGTAAACAAAACATTCGGAAACACGAGCAACATGATTCCAAATTACAACATTTATACATAGTCATACTTACATTTTCAACTTTCTTATTTAATATCACATCAAATTATTATCCACTCCACTAATCTTTAAATAAATGTCCATTTCATATTTCAATTCATTAATTCAATATCAAAGTCATTTCCTCACATATATTTTCAATTCTTTATCCCTTATTATTTCCATTTTCAGCTTACTACCTATTTTATTTTTCATTGTACGTTGTTATCTTCATTAGCTTTCTCAAGATCGCAAAATAGTAAACAATAAAAAAGAGTAAAAATAAAATAAAATAAATATATTTAGGATCCACATGGTATATCCCCCAATCTACAGTATGTCTTATATTTATTCCAGCAATTTTATTTCTTTTATATGGACTTCTCTTTTCTTCACCCTAATAAAATAAAAGTTTGGTAGGTAAAGACTACTAGGGAATTCACTGAGGTACTCAGCCCGTATATATATTAAATACTCTTTTTGTTTCCCCTGGGCACATTCAACTTTTCGGTCTGCATCAGTTACTTGATGGATTTGACCTTCTTTTTTCCTTGTTGGTGACTTTTTTCCAGGATGGTCAATTTCTGTCCACAATGTGGACAGAAAGTTGAGGAAATGTTTCACTTCTGTCCGGCCTGTGGAGGCCGGCTTCCGGTTCCAGAAGAAGAGCCCATGCAGATCACTCCATCTCCTTCTTTAAAAGGTGTGTAACATTCATTAACACGTGGGTTAGTTGAAGGCTGAGAAAATGGCCTGGAAATCGGCTAAGAGGAAGTCATTCCCCCTTCGGCTTAGAGATGCTCATCGTGACACCATTGCGCAAATCACTTAATGCAAGTAGCCCTCAACTTACAACCACAATTGAGCCCAGAATTTCCATTGCTAAACCGGGCAGTTGTTAAGTGAGTCGTGACCCATTTTACGACCTTTTAGCCCCTTAGAGGTCTCCAAACTTGGCAACTTTAAGACTTTTGGATTTCAACTTCAGCATAGCTGGTTGGAGAGTTAACAGATAACAGATAATCAGAGTTGGAAGGGACCTTGTAGGTCATCTAGTCCAACCCCCCGCCCAAGCAGGAGACCCTACACCATTTCTGACAAATGGCAGTCCAGTATCTTCTTGAAAACCTCCAGTGATGGCACTCCCACAACTTCCAAGGGCAACTTCTGTTCCATTGGTTGATTGTTCTCATTGTCAGAAAGTTTCTCCTTGTTTCCAGGTTGAATCTCTCCTTCTTCAGTTTCCATCCATTGTTCCTTGTCTGGCCTTCGGATACCTTGGAGAATAGCTTGACCCCTTCCTCATCTCTGCGGCAGCCCCTCAAGTATTGGAAGACTGCTCTCCTGTCTCCCCTGGTCCTTCTCTTCCCTAGACTAGCCAGGCCCAGTTCCTGTAACCGTTCTTTGTATGTTTTAGTCTCCAGTCCCCTAATCATCCTGGTTGCTCTTCTCTGTACTTTTTCTAGAGACTCAACATCTTTTTGATAGTTCTGGGAGTTGAAATCCACAAGTCTTAAACTTGCCAAGTTTGGGGACCCCTGCTTTAATAGGTTCCCTTTTAAGGTTGGGGTCTCAGCCCCTCAGAATCACTCATCCCATCTGGCTGCTACTACCATATGTGCAGACAGATGAATGACCCCTTTACTACCCATAGCTGCTCAAGCATGCTGCATTTTTCTGGTTTGGGGTTTAGCGGTGAACATTTTGGCTTCTCCAACAGCGTCTTCTCCTCTCTTGCTCAGAATTAAACCAGGGCATCCAGGTTGAGCTTCCGCTCTTGCCTCAGAAGAAAAAGGTGGAGATAGTTTTTCCGAAAAAGGAAATGTCTTCAACTTTTGTCAAAGCTTCTCCCAAGAGCTCAGTGGCATCCGTTTCTCCAAAGGCAAAAGGTAAGGAATTATGGACATGGTCAGGACTAGAATTAGAATTAGAGTTGAATTCTTTATTGGCCAAGTGTGATTGGGCACACAAATAATTTGTCTTGGTGCAAACGCTCTCAGTGTACATAAAAAGAAAAAAATACATTTGTCAAGAGTCAAGAATCATCAGGTACAACACTTAATGATAGTCATAGGGTACAATAAGCAATCAAATCATACTAGGAAACAGTCAGTATAAATCATAAAGATACAAGCGACAAGTTGCAGTCATACAGTCACAAATGGGAAGGGATGAGTGATAAGGAGTGATGAGAAGATTAACAGTAATAGTAATGCAGACTTTGTAAATAGTTAGACAGTGTTGACAGAATTATTTGTTTAGCAGAGTGATGGCGTTCGGGGAAATTCTGTCCTTGTGTCTAGCTCCGTTCTCCTGTGCAGGGCAACAGAAGGAGACCTAGCCAATCAGCCGGGACTCAGGAGGCGGAGAAGAGATGGGGGCGGGGCCAGTCAGAAGTGGGATTGGCTAGTTCTCTGAACTACTCAAAATTTCCGCTACCGGTTCTCCAGAACTGGTCAGAACCTGCTGGATACCAGCTCTGCCTCGGACCCTGCAACCATCATTAAATCTGAACCAGTTGCCAAGCATCTGAATTTTGTTTATGTGACCAACTGAGTGTGAAAAAAAGGTCGTAAGTTTTCAGTGCTGTTGCAACTTTGAACAGTCACAATATGTTGCTATAAGTTGAGGATACCTGTATTAAAAACATGGTTTGAACTGAGACAGGGATGAGATACTACTAAGTCAGGGGTTCCCAACCTTTTCTATATCCACACTCCTAGAACATGTCTAATATATTCTGTACTCCTTAAAAAAGAAATAATACGCAACCCCATCTCTTCTCTGCCTCCCATTGAGTCCCGGCTGATTGGCTGGGTCTTCTTTTGTTGCCCTGCACAGGAGAACGGAGCTGGAAAGCAGGTTAGTGGGGAGGGAAGGGAAGGGGGATTTTGCAGTATATCCTTCCCCTGCCACACCCACCAAAGAGAGTCATGCCTTTTTCAAGGCCAGTTCTGTCCCAACTATTGTGTTAGTTGTATCGTGGCATTCTGCCAATTGATTATTGATAGTCCTTGAATTACAACAGTTCATTTAGTGGCCATTCGAAGTTACAACGGCATTTTAAAAAGGGACTTATGACCATTTTTCATACTTACCACCCTTGCAGCACTCCCCATTGTCACATGATTTATAATTTGGATGCTTGACAACTGACTCACATTTATGACGGTTGCAGTGGCCTTGGGTCATGGGAATCTCCTTTTGCGACCTGGCAAGCAAAGTCAGTGGGGAAAGTAGATTCACTTAACAGCCGTGTTACCAAATGAACAAGTGCAGTGATTCACTTAACGGCTGCGCCAAGGGAAGTCATAAAAATGGGGGGAAACTCACTTAGCCAGCGTCTCACTTAGCCATATAAATGTTGGGCTCCACTGTGGTCATAACTCGAGTGGTGCAGTGGCTTAGAGATGGAACTCTCGCCTCACTATCAGGAGGCCATGAGTTCAGTCCTGGGTACCGGCAGTTATTTCTCTCTCTGGGCACAGTGAGTAATTTATCTGTTGCGAACTCTGTATTGGCAACAGGAAGGGCATCCGGCCAGTAAACACTCAGCTCCATTCCATTGCCCAGACGCTGCCTCTGGTAAGGGATTACGGGGTCGTTAAAAGACAAAACAGCGGTCATAATTTCGAGGGCTACCTGTCCTCCTCCCTTTTATCCGCTTGGAGAACACGACGGGTGGCGAAACCCTGGATCCCCTCAAGAACTTCCGGTTGGCTTTTGTGGAGTAGAAGCGTGTCTCTCTCTCGATGCCCAGTCAAAATCAGCATCTCTCCTTACGAAGGAAAGGCGGCTTTCCGCTCGCCGAAGAAGGAAAGGTGTCCTTGCGTGGAGCCTCTCCCGGAGGGTGAAATCTTGACAGACCTGAACGATAAAAAGTGGAGGATTTCGAAGCTTCTGAGCCAGTCGGATCGTGGGCTGATCTATGAAGGTATTCAGGGGGGGATCACCTATTTGTGGAGCAGGGTGTGTGGGGCGGGGTAGAAAACTTGCACCTTGGTGTGCTCTGTATTTTTCTGAAGGCGAACCTGCCTTGAAAATGATAGGTTTTCCCTCCCTGAGGTTGGAGTCGTATTGAATCAAAAAAAAAAAAAACACCTTAAAATAAACTGAAGGGGTAGGCTGACATATTGTCAATATTTCCATTTTTTCCTCAAATGGTAAATCTTCGTTAGATCCTGCACATTTAAGGGCCTATAAATGTACCTCTCTTTCATTCCCTACCAATTTGTCATTTTATTTTATTTTTTTCACAGCCAAATTAACGTCGGAACGCTCACCAAAGCACAAATACACCCTCAAACTGGTGAGTTCAAATCTCTCTGGGGTTAGATATAACGTTGGATTTCTCCATGGAGTTTGAAGTGGCTTTTCTAGCTTGCTCAAGATAGGATCGCTTCCCTTTCTGCTTATTACTGTCATCGACCAACGTTTTATGCACATACAAAATTGAAAACAAGACAATTGCTTCCCTCTCTAAGCGGTTTACAGAGTCAGCCTTATTGCCCCCAAACATCTGGGTCCTCATTTTACCAATCTCGGAAGGATGGAAAGATGAGTCAACCTTTTGGGAGTCCAAAGAAATCCTTTTCTTACTTTCCAGTGATCAGCAAACTCATTTGCCTCTAAGATATTTAAGAAGCTATATTGTCTGGTGGTTAAGGCACCCCGCTAGAAAGCGGGAGAGTGTGAGTTCTAGTCCTGCCTTAGGCATGAAAGCCCATTGGGTAATTTTAGGCCAATCACAAGGAGACTGGGAGTTCTAGTCCTGATTTAGATATAAAAAGCCACCTGGGTAATTTTAGGCCAATCATGAGGAGACTGGGAGTTCTAGTTCTGCTTTAACACATGAAAACTAGCTGGGTAATTTTAGGCCAATCACAAGGAGACTGGGAGTTCTAGTCCTGTCTTAGGCATGAAAACTAGCTGGTAATTTTTGGCCAATCACAAGAAGACTGGGAGTTCTAATCCTGTTTTAACTAGCTGGGTAATTTTAGTCCAATCACGAGGAGGCTGGGAGTTCTAGTCCTGTCTTAGGCATGAAAGCTAGCTGGGTGACACTGGCCCAGTCCTTCTCTCTTATCCCAACCCACCTCACAGGGTTGTTGTGGGGAAAATAGAAAGAGGAAGGTATGTTGAGTCCTCCTCTTTGAGTTATTTGTAAAAATAATCATAAAGGCGGGATATAGATCTAGATATCCCAACTTTGTCATAGGTATATACGTATGTCTGTCTGTCTTTGTCCAAGAACTTCAGCGCTACCTGTTCCCTTTCTTTTCTCAGGATGCTAAAGAGGGAAAGCTGTTTAACGAACAGAACTTTCTACAGAGAGCTGCTAAGAAAGTCGCAGGTAAAAACGAACGTTGGAGGGTGTTTATAAGTGGGTCGTAGGGACATGAACACAGGACACCGTCCTCAAACGTCTCCTGGTCCGCTGTGAAATCTCGGGTCTCTTCTTGTTCTGCTTCCAGAGTGGGGCAGTTTGAGGGGGTCTGTCAGCCCAAGCTGCGCTACATCTGTCTTTGGTTGCACTGTCCTGTTTGATCTCTCCCTGCAGTGGAGAAGTGGAAGAAGCAATACTTAATGCCGTTCCTGGGGGTACCTGAATGTGTTGGTTTTGGCGTCCATGAGAACAGCTACAGGTGAGTCCCAGTGATGAAGAGAGTTTGAGTTTGATTTTTGCAGCCGCTACACTATTCCCACCTGCCTTTCTATTGGCAACTTTAAAAGGCCAGAGAAATATTTTATGAGTTGACACCAAATTTTAATCACATGACCACGGGAATGCGGTAACAGTTGTTAAGTGTGAAAAACGGTCATAAGTCACTTTCACCAGCGTTGTTGCAACTTCGGTCACTAAACGAACTGTTGTAAGTCAAGGACTACCTGTACTTCTGAGCAGTTTCCTGTATGGGTCTTCACCTATAGACTGAAATCTCACCCAACTAAAGCAACTATCTGCAGCACAAAACCTTCTCTGAAAATCGCTAGGGAGCAGCCTCCTTGACTCTTTCTCCCACCAAAACTATTTAAGCTCCGCCACTTCTTTGACCTTGGGAAGGCAGCCCCTCCCACCTGGGAATCCAGACTGCATTCCACCCCGCTAGCCTGCCTAGTGTAGTTAAAAACCTGGTGGTTTTTTAACTAGCAGATGATCAAGAGTAGATTCACATGCAACTTCAATCTCCTTTGATTGGCAGGTTCCTGGTCTTTCCCGAATTGGGTCGATCTCTTCAGTCAGTCCTGGACGACAACAAAAACCAGATGACGGAGAAAGCTGTATTGCAGTTTGCAGTCAGGCTGGTATGGGGTGCGAGGAAGGCCTAGGGTGGGGAAGGAATTTCTCTGATGGGCAGAAAGGATGGCCTTAAAGGACAGGAAGAGCTTTTTACTAAGGCAACAATCAGATAAAAGAAACCTGAGTCCAGGGCAGACCAGTAACCTGAGAAAGCATCTCAAACAGGATCCTGCCTAGTTCCAATCAGTATAAAGCGATGTGGAGGCGAATGGAGGTTTTCAAGATATTGTTAAAAAAAAAACTGACTCTGCTGTCCCAAAGGTGTTTTTTCAAGAGGCAGTTGGATTAGCAACAGTCCTGAAAAACGGGAATTTGCATTGCTGACACATCCGCCTTTCTCTTTGCCTCTAGCTTGACGTTCTGGAATATCTTCATGAAAATGAGTATACTCACGGGGATCTGGCTGCTGAAAACATATATGTGAATCCGGCTGATCTCACTGTGGTAAGGAAAAGAGTAAGAGTCTCTAGGACAACTGGCCACGGCCAACTGGACACTGGACCAACGTTACGTAATATCAAAGAAATGGTGAAATAGAGTAATGAAAGAAAGGATGTAAAAGGAGGAACAAAATAGCAATAGCTCTTAGATTTATATACCGCTTCACAGTGCTTTTACAGTCCTCTCTAAGCGGTTTACAGAGTCAGCCTCTTGCCCCCAACAATCCAGGTCCTCATTTTACCCACCTCAGAAGGAGGGAAGGCTGAGTCAACTTTGAATCGGTCAGAATCGAACTTCTGGCAGTGGGCAGAGTCAGCATTCTAACCACTGTGCACTATGGATGGAAGGAGGGAGGGAGGGAGAAAAGGAAGAGCAATCGCAATAGCACTTAGACTTATATACCGCTTTATAGCGCTTTTGCAGCCCTCTCTAAGCGGTTTACAGAGTCAGCCTCTTGCCCCCAACAATCTGGGTCCTCATTTGATCCACCCCGGAAGGTGGGAAGGCTGAGTCAACCTTGAGCTGGTCAAGATCGAACTGCCAAATTGCAGGTAGCCGGCAGTCAGCAGAAGTAGCCCTGCAGTACTGCACTCTAACCACTGCGCCACTGGGGCTCATAAATGAAGTGTGCATGACAAAATGAAAGTAATTTTTAAATTATTCTAAATAATCAGAGTTGTGGGAGTTTTCTGGTGGGGAATTGGTTGGGGGGGAATTGCCCCCGGTAAGCTGGCCACGGCTAGTTGGCTGTGGTCAATTGGCCCCCGTTCCAAGGAGCAGAGGGCAGGAGAGCAAACCGGGGCGTTCTAGTCAGGCTGTTACAGATCATAAAATGGGACAAAACTCGTTTAACAGATGTCTCACTCAGCAACAGGAATTTGGGGCTCGATAAGTTGTTCGCTGTAGCTTTATTTTGAGGCTCTTCGGCTCTTCTTCCTTCTTACCCTCCAGGTTACTTTAGCAGATTTCAGCTTCGCCTTCCGATACAGCCCTGGAGGGAAACACGTGCCGCAGAGGGAATGCAGTCGGACTCCTCACGAAGGCACCTTGGAGTTCATCAGCCTGGACAGCCACAGGGGAGCTGGTGAGACCCTGTTGCAAATGCAGGTCTAGATTTGCCCCTATCGCCTTTCTTGGTTTGGGGGGGTTGCTCTTCTGAGCCAGCTCCCCAAAACACGACAAGCCCTCTTGACGTGAACTCCAAAAGATTCCCATCGGCATTCCAGAAAGACCAAACTCCCCAACGCCAAGACTCTGAGGTCCCTTTTTATTAGAGTTGACATACTGGCATATCATCTGGGAAAACCCGAATCGGAGAGATCTGGATTTTCCTCCAGTATTTTTTTTTTAAAAAAATCACAAAATCCATCCCCTCCACCCGTTAGTCCGTCCCCTGGTCCAATCACCATCCGTCCCAACTGGAGACATCCCATAACCGCTCCTCATCCAGGTGCAGGGAAGGCACGACTTTGACTGCAAGGAAGAATGCTCTCGTGTCTTAACTACCTACACTCTACAACAAGGATCTTCAAACTTGGCAAGTTGAAGACTTGGGAACTTCCAACTCCCAGAATTCCCGAGCTAACGTGACTGGAGACGGGATTCTGGGAGTTGAAGTCCACACCTTTTAAAGCTGTCCAGTTTGAAGACCCCGGCTCTACAAACTCCCACCTCCCAATTTCCCAGGCACAGGAATGTGGCGGCATGGAAGCTTCTGGTGCTAATATGGCTTCCAAAGCCGACAGTTCCTTTATTAGGAATGACGGAAGCCAAGTAGACGTAACTGGGGAAAGACGACCCTTCAAATAACCTGGGCAGGGGTGCACAACCTTTGGGCTACGGCCCACTACTGAGCGTGGTCTAGTCACAACCGGGCTGTGTTAGTGCCGGGCTGACTTCTACTCCACAAAATTATGTTGACATCAAGGGTTGTCCTCAGCTGATCTCTGAACATGGCGTAGAGCCCTCCTCTAAAACATGGGGAAGCTTGCGTTCGCTGCTTGATAACCAAGACAGATCAACTTTGGAAATTTATCTGTTTATTTATTCCCACCCTTTTATTATTTTTACAAAGAACTCAAGGCAGCGAACACATCTAGCCTATCTTCCTCCTCCTGTTTTCCTTACAGTAACAACTACCTTATTAGTTCAATTGGGGTGAGAGAGTGTGTGGCTGGCTGAAAGTCATCCAGCCAGCTTTCCTGGCCAAAGCAGGACTAGAATTCACAGTCTCTTGGTGATTGACCGAATTACCCAGCCAGCTTTCATGGCTAAGGGCTGGGTGGTGGGGACTGGAACTCACAGTCTCCAGGTCACGGACCCAAAGTCTCTTAGCTAGTTGTCATGGGTAAGGCAGGACTACAACTCCCAAGCTCCTGGTCATTGGCCCAAAGTCACCCAGGCAGCTTTTATGCCTGCTTTTTAAAGTCTGCTTCCAATATTTCGTATGGGGATCTGCTTGTTCTTTACAGCTCCGTCCCGTCGAAGTGACCTTGAATCCTTGGGTTACTGCCTGGTAAAGTGGCTGTGGGGTGCCCTTCCCTGGTCTGCAGACCTGACAGATCCCTGCGTGGTCACAGACGAAAAAGAGAGGTGTGTGCACACTTGCAACCGTTGGCAACTGCCTGCTGTTAGGAAAAAGGCAAGGGATATTTCAGCTACCACCAGCCAAGGTTGCGGTACCTACTGAGTGTTGTTAATAGGATCCTGTTTGGGTTTTTTTTCATCTTAGTCACACATCCTTATTTTTCATCCTGGAGAGACAAAAAATTCCAATAGAAGAGAATGTCTGTAGACCAAGAGTTGAACTGTAAAGTCTTTGGTGCTCTGAGAGTTGGTTATTTCCTTGCAGACGTTTCATTACCCAACTAGGTAACATCATCAGTGATAGAAGGGAGTGGGGTTTGCAAAGAGGAGGAAGGAGAGAAGGAGGTGGAGGAGACCTATGGGGTCCTTGGTGTTCTCTGAGCTCGGTGCGTTTTTTTGGAGATGTCTCATTACCCAGCTAGGTAATGTCATCAGTGCTAGAAGGAATGGGCTTTGCTCTTCATTTACATTCAGTAATTCGCCCTGTCAGTGTCAGTAGGGCTGTTGCTTACTCCTTGGTTACTCCTTGGTTTGTTGTTTCCTGCTTGATTGTCTGGTTCCAATAGAATAGAGCAGTAGTGGCTAACCTTTTGGGGCTCCTATGCCAAAAATTGTGTTCATGCTTCGCGTGCCAGCACCCAGAAGGCAATGCACAGCCCTCCCATGCCCCCTGTGCACGTGCGTGTAATCGCCCCCACGCCACCTCCTTCCCTGCACCGTGCCTCCCAGCTGATTTTTGGCCCGTTTGAGGCCTTTTTGGGCCTCCCAGAGGCTTGAGGAAAGCTGCAGCCTTTGTAGGCCGGAAATACAGGAAGTTGACGAAATGGTCCTATTTTTCGGCATGCAAAGCTTTTCCTCAAACCTCTGGGAGGCCAAAAAAGGCCTCAAACAGGCTGAAAAAACAGCTGTGAGGTGCGCATGCGCAGTGAGGTAAGTTTGCCTGTGGCTCAAGTGCCGGCACAAATGGTTCTGCATGCCACCTGTGGCACACATGCCAAAGGTTCGCCATCACGGGACTAGAACATCTGTAGCTCAGGGCTGAACCGTAATGTCCTTGATACTCCCTGGAATTAGTTTGTTTGCTTGCAGATATTTTATTATCCAACAACACAAATGCTAGAAAGGAGTGCTAGTTTGCTGTCTGTTTATACACAAATACTAAACCAGAAGCAGCAGCCTAACCAAGGAGCTATCAAAGCGAAAACAACAATTCCCCAAACACCTAGCGGGCAAGCTACCATATACAGGGAGTCCTTGACTTACAACCACAATGGAGCCCAAAATTTTATGTTTGCTAGGTGAGCCATTTGTTAAGCGAATTTTGCCTTATTTTACGACCGTTCTTGCCCCAATGGTTAAATGAATCACTGCAGTGGATTAAGTTAGTAACTCAATTGTTATACAAATAATATCCCAATTGCAACCGTAATGGGGCTGTCCCATCACGGTCAAAATTCATGGCAGTCATAAAACAGGTTGGTTGCATGACAACCTGATTTTTTAGCACTTCTTTTTGCCATACTGGTTAAGCGAATCGGTATTGTTAAAGCAAACGCCATGGTCCTTCATTTAACCAGTGGTCCTCTAGAGGCACTGTCAGGGTTCCGGCGATTGCCCTAGTTAAATCATGAGCCTCGAGCCAAGCTTCAAAAGAATTCAAAAGATTTATTAGGAGCAACATGTTCTGGCCATATGAAGCTAACTCTGAGACATATCACCTATGATCCTGTTTCCCCCCACCCCCCTGGGTATGTCATAAATCAGATTCTCCAATGAAACACCTTCACGGCTGAGTGTCATCAATCACACTTTCCAATAAAGGATTTTCGCAGGCAGAAGATCCAGTAGCCTAGGCTACAATCTCCACAAGATAAGCGTGGAATGTGCTTCTGGCCTTCATCTGCTGCACTGCTCTTCAGGCCTTCCCCACCCCACTCCCTCCTTCTTATGGCAACTCGGAAACAGGTTTAGGAATGATTTACGAGTTGACAGGCACAGTTTTGCCAGCCTTCAGGTGTAAATACTGTTTTGGGGCAGAACCCTGATAAAGGACAGTCGTAGGGCCCCAGGATGCTGGCGAACAGCCATCAACTCAAGTCAATGTGTATTGTCAATGCACAAGTCTCATCTCAGCTGTACATCTCGGCCTGTTTAAGAGATTCATGTTGATTGTTATTTCTGTTGTAGGTACAAAGTGGATATTATCAAAAATCCAAGACTGTCCTCTGGCTGGGGAGCCTTACCAGGTAAAGGCGAATTGACGTGTTCTCATTTTAGTGTTCTCATTTTCACTTTAGGGTTTACTTTTTAGAGGGTTACTTGGTGGTGCAGTGGTTAAAATGGCAGTAATGCAAGCTACTTCAGCTGTCTGCCTGGCAGTTTGGCAGTTTGATTCTCACCTGCTCAAGGTTGACTCAGCCTTCCATCCTTCCAAAATCGGTAAAATGAGGACCCCGATTGTTGGGGGAATAATAGGCTGACTGTAAACCGTTTAGAGAGGACTGGAAAGCACTGTGAAACAATATATGTCTTAAATGCTTTGACCACTTCGTAGTTGTTCTCACAACAGCTCTCTCCATGTTACAGGTAGTCCTCAACTTATGTCCACAATTGAGCGCACAGTTTCTGTTGCTAAGTTGTTAAAGTGAGTTTTTCCCCTCTTTATGACCTATCTCGCCACCGTTGTTAAGTGAATCACTACAATTGTTAAGTTACAATACAGTTGCTAAGCAAAATTGGCTTCCCCATTGACTTCATTTGTCAGAAGGTTGCAACATGGGATCACATGATCCATGGGACACTGCAACCGTCATAAGTACATGCCAGTTGCCAAGTGTCTGGCTCTTGATCATGTGACCATGGAAAAGCTGCGACTGGTGTAAGCGTGAAAAATGATCATCAGTCGCTTTTTTTCAGTGCCGTCGTAACTTTGAATGGTCACTAAGCAAACTGTTGTAAGTCGAGGACTACCTATATTCTCAGTGAGAAATAACCAGCTACGACCCTGCACAGCCAGTTGTGACAGGGCAGCTGGCTGGGGAATTCTGGGAGCTGAAGTCCGCCCATCTTAAACGCTGCCCCCGTTGAGAAACGCTGCAGGATTTGCAGTTAGGAGTTCTGGCATCCCAGGTTATATCCCCACTGTTGCAGCAGGCAAGTTGCGTCCTTGTGCTGCACTTTCTGTGACTTGCAATTTGCTTTTTTGTCTTATTTACATATCTGGGAGACATCCTGATAAATGGTTCTCATTTCCTATTGTCTAGAACAGCAGGCCCTGAATATTCTATAAATATTCAGTGTGATGTTGTCAGGTACAAACTTTGTTTTAATGAGCCCATGGCCCATCCACCAAGAATAAGTTAATTTGCTTTGATTTCTATTCCTTTTGAATTTACATGAATGTGGACAGTCCTGGGTTCAAGACCACTGTAGAAATCTATCAACCAAGCCGAACAATTGTACTATAATTCTCCATTTTACTTTTATTGCTGTGCTTTGCCAGTCTTCTGAGTGAATATTATGTAGAAAGGCAGGTTAAAAATGTTGTGAGATTGACTCTTGGGATTTCTTACACACTCAAAGCCTCTGTTGCTTAGTCTTCAGGAAGACCATTGCCAAGCTGGGTCAGAAAAATCAATAGTTTTTAATCTAGTGTTTTCCAACTTGGCAACTTGCTGGCTGGGGAATTCTGGGAGTTGAAGTCCACTCATCTGAAAGTTGCCATGTTGAAAAAACATTGATGTAAGCCATAAGTTGCGACAACACAAATACTGCAATTGTTACTTAGAGAGGCCAGCTTTTTTCATCGTCGTCCATGGAGGTCTGTTTGATTAACTGATTGATTGATTTTTAAAGAATCCATACAGAAATACCTGCAACAAGTAATGACTTTGGAATATGAAGAAAAACCAAACTACGAAGAACTGCGAATGTTATTTACGAGGCCTCTTCAGCTGATGAGAGCATCGGCCTATGACTCAGTGGACCTCAGAGTAGCACCCTAGGTGAGCTGTGATTTCATTTCCAGTCCCATCAAAAGAACATCACAAGCCCTGCTGGGTGGCAAATTCTTTCCTGTTGAGAGTATTACTTAAAAAGAAAACAAAAACCAAAGGAGAACACTTGTTTAAACTGGCCACTTCTGAGCTTGACATAGCTGGAGATATCTGGAACAGGTAGGCAAATGTTGGGATGGTGTAGTAGATGGATGGATGGGTGGGCAGGTGGATGGATGGATGGATGGATGGATGGATGGATGGATGGATGGATAAGATGTGAGAGAGATGTAGGTGTGTGGATGGATGGATAAGATGATAGATATGGATAGACAGACAGACAGAAGATCGATGTAGGTCAGTAGATGGATGGATGATATAGACAGACGACAGACAGTTATGGATGGACAAATGGATAGATGAATAAAGATAGATACAGAGACAGA